TTGAGGAAAATATTTCTATTGGGCCAACCCACTTGAAGACTGAGAAATAAAGAAGCATACTCCATCAGAAAAAGAAATGAAGAGGGAGATAGATAGAAAAACACAGAAGGCAATAATTTTTTTTTTTATAATAAAAAGTTTAGATGAGTTGGGTCATGAGGTTCACCAAGGTCAAGGTATACTTTCAGAGTCAAAAAACACTTACAAAGATACTTATAAAAAAGACAATATTTTAGTAGTAATGATTGTCACTAATAATGTTCACGTGAAACGAATGTACATAACATACACCATAGGCAATATTTTATTTAATGTTTGAAAAAAGTACCATTCATGATAGTTTATAACTATATTTTGGGTTTTTTTAACAAATAACCTATAAACATTAAAAAAAATTCTCTAAATACTATAGTCAAACTTGTTCAAAACTTGAATAGCTTCTAAAATTCATCCAACTAAGAACAACTTTTTCAATAAGCTTTTGAAATTCATTTTGGTATCAACGACTTTTAAACTTCATCACCCAATCCCTCACCACGCATAGCTCTCTTGCAATAATTTTAACAATGATAAATCATTTGAATAATGAATTATGAGTAAAAAATTGGATGAGTGTTAATCATTACATGATAATGGGTTAATATAAGTGTTGGTCTCTCAAGTTTGTCCCAATTTTAATTTTAGTCCCTTAAATTTCAAACTATAGGTTTTGATTCCTCAAAAGAGGAAAATGGTCTAAGTTTTTATTAGATTATAAGGACCAATATTTTAAATGAAAAGAAAATTGAGGGATTAAAACCTATGATTTGAAAATTGAGGGATTGAAACCAAAATGATGATAAACTTAAAAGACTAAAGTTTGCATTAACTCTGTAATAATACTAATAATTAATACTATACTAATTAAAAAGTGATTAATGAAAATAAGTATTGATGGGGTTTTAAAAAAATTAATAATAACACGAACCAAAAATAAAAATTGATTTACCTTAAAATTAATGACATCCGGTACCACATTTTGTTCTCCTCTGTATATGTTGTGTTGTTGTTATATATTCACTTCTTCTTGAGCTTGGTCAAATATCTTATTTGTCTGCTTAGTTGGAGTATTTAAATCAAACTTGGGTGATTTAACTAAAGAAATTGATTTTCGATAGATGGCAAATCCACCTTACTCAAAAGTAGAAGTTTTATATTTAGTCATAAACATCAAATAAGGACATGAATGACTGAAATGGAGAAGGATTGGGGGGAGTCAGAATGAGATAATGTCGATGATCTTTATATCTTTTTCACTAAAATCAAATAACTGATCAACCATCCAAATATCTGCAATATTTACTGTGAATCAATATGTAAAATGAAATGAGTTAAATTTAGAGGCAGTTGTCAAATGAAGAGCTTATCTACAAATAAGTGTTGTAATTAAATATTCTAATAAATTTGAGAAATGAAATATATATTAATATTTAGAAAATTTTAAATATAAAATTCAACGCCTACAAGGCATCATATAAAAGTTAAAATAAACTCAACATATAAAATGATTAAATATAAAATTCTACTCATCATTTAACAAAATACATATAAAAATTATAAAAGAAGTTAATCAAGGGACTGTACCGTAGTCAGATGAAAAATTAAATTTCAAGTTGAAACAAAATTTATATAAGAAGGTAGCACACACCGCCAATTTTATTAGAAGAATGAAAGAACGCAGAAATTTAAAGAGAAGGAAAAATAATGGAAGGACAAAAGAGCTAAAGAAAAATACATATTTAAGAGTGGATACATCAAAAAACATAGCCAAAGTTGTTCAAGGTGTGAACAACTTCACTTTTTTCTATGTGAGGCCCACTAAACTCGTTTTTAATAAGAATGATTTTTTTGTAAATTTAAACTTGATCATTGCTTGAACGATTTTAAAATGTAGCATCTCGGTTAATATTTTTCATGTTATAGCATTTCGGTAAAATAAATTATTATTTATAGTATGCCAGTAAAAACCCTATATTTTTCATCGTTTAAATTTAATTTCATTCAAATTTTATTATATTTGGTTTTTTCATGGCAAGTTTTTTTCTAATCTTATTCATGATACTTGACTATATTTATTATGTATCAAAATTTGCTTATAAATTTCCATAATTTACCATTCAATATTTTCATATATTGTATACATGAGGGTCTTGACTCTTAATTCCGGAAGGATAGATAGAGTATGTTGTTCTGTGTAAAGTTGGTTAAAAGAATCATCATAATCAATGTAACATTGACTGAGATAGCAAACATGTTGTTGCATGATTAATGGAGAATATTGCCTTTTTGACAATTTGGGTGGGAAAAAAGACACTTTAATACTAAAATACTTAGAAGGCTTAAAGCAAACATTCCTATTGGGCCGACACATTTGAAGATTGAGAAAAAAGAAGCATAAAGTATGTAAAGAGGGGCCACAAGAAAACGAAGAAGACAATATTTTATTAATAAATGGTTATCGATGATAAATATTAGAATAATAATAATATGAGGAAGACTTGCAAAGTTGACTTGGTAACCCGATACCTAAGAAGACTGGAAATCTCGTCTACTTATGCGTTCATTAACTCTTCCATCACTGAAGTCTCATAAGTTACAATTTCACAGTGCTCTGTGTGCTATCTCAGTGTTTTATATTTCAGGTAATTAAGTGCATTACATTATTGATTCATTCTTTTAAAGTTTTATCTCATTTTGTTAAACTCTTTGTTGTGATCTTCAATGAGTTTTCTTCTCAAAGCAATCTGATTTAACAGAAAGCTAAGGAGACAACTCGATCTCTTGTTAAAGGCATCGTCAAGCAACTTGCAGTCTGCAAAACACAAGTAAGTTCATCACTTTCCCTTTATATCTCTTATTTACTTTTTGTTTGTCACTGGGTTTAGTTATATTACAAGTTTGTGTCTCTCTTCTGCTTCATTACTTAGACTTGAAAGGGAAACATTAATTTCGCTTTTTTAGATGATTGTGAGTGTTTTAACTAGCCAGATGATGCTCTACTGGATAAACAATCTCTTCATGACTAGCTAAATAATCTTCATATGGTAAAGCTATAATAATAACTTCACCAACCATTCGAAAATTTCAAGTTACGGAAGATTTTTGGGGAAGCACTAGAAATAACAGTGTGCTTTTGAAATGAATCAAATTTATTATATGCACTTCAATAAAAAGAGAAAATAATTCATAAATAAGTTGTATTATCTTTTGATGTTCTAGAGTAAGGAGGAAACAGTAAAAGAAATTAAAGCCGAGGATCCTAATTCAGGACTAGAGAAACAGGCACTCAAAAGTTTAGTAGCTAAACCACAGTTGAGAAGGACATCTCTACATATAAATTTATTGATTGTTTGACAATTTTCAATATGATCGCAAGTTCATTTTAAACTTCTAGTTTGTTAAGTTAGTTATTTATAATGCATAAGTGTTATTTTTTTAAAAGTAGTTTTGTTAATAATATATATTAGCTAGAATCGTGATTTGGTAGAACCTTTAACAGGTAAAATTACTACAAGAACTATTTTAAAAAAATAGATAAATATAAAAAACAAAATGAATTTAGGTCTTACATTTAGGACTAAATTGAATGTTAAACTAGTTCTTATGTTGAGAATCAGTTATTCAAACTTGATTAAAAAGGTACAAAGTAGAGTATATGGGTGTAGAAGAAGAATATGCAAGCTCAATAATAAAATCGAAGGAAGGTTCAACAAAGTGAGGGAAATTATAGGCATAATTTGTCCCTACTTGTGAAATGCGGATAGGATCAAAATCTGGTGTTTCTTGTTTAATAGAACTGAGCTGGAAAATCGTTCTTTTTCCCTGTACTTAAAGCACATATCTTTTCAGTCCTTCAACATTAATACTGTCTAACATTAAAAATTAAAATGTTAACAAAATATTTTAAAATACTTATAGATTAAGTTTAATTTTTAAGAATAATAATAATTGACACATAAAATCATAATACTAGAGATTAACTCTGACAAGGTTAAAGAACTAAAAAAATGTTTTTTAAAATTAAATGATCCGAGTAAAGTATTAAAAAACTAAAAAAGTGTCTGGGAGGTCCAAGAACACTTTAAAAAAATATTTTTACACAAATCAAAATAAAGTTTTTCTTATTTACTTATTTCAAACTCTATAAAATTTCTTCTAAAATAGGACTTAATTTTTATCGAAACACTTTGCCGGAAGTTAAAAGAGCAAAGATGCACTTTTGCCTTCTCTCTCTGTCTCTGTTTTTTTTTTCCCCAGAGCACTTTTGCCTATTACTTAATTACTATTATTGATAAAAAAAATGATTATTTCTTAGAAAAAATTTCAGAAAGAGAACCTTAAAATTATCACTTCCTAATTCAAGTACCAAAAAGTTGGAAATGACATAAAAGAAAGTGGTGCTTGATCTGGTATTTTATAAATGTGGTTAAATTACTAAAATCCTTTTGTATCATATTTGAAAGAAAAAATATATCAAACTTGACATTGGCAATGTATTTTTTGTCATGAGATGTTCAACATTTATTATTATCAGTTAATAACTTGTTAATAAACAATTTGTCATTGTTAGTATATTTCTTATCATTTGTTGTTGAACACTTGTTATTATTAATTCACAACTTGTTACCAAATTTTTTAATATAAAGATATTTTAATTATTTGATTATATTTATAAAATGTCATATCAGATATTCTTTTTTTTTTAGGATCTTGAAATATAAGGTGCGTGATGTGTAGTATCATATTTTTCAGCCTTTTTATTTGCCATTTTCTCTGTTTTGTTATAATTAAAAGTGTACAATTTCTCACATGTGAGGGAATATTTATTAAAATATCTACTAATGGGTTCCAGCCGTGGGAGGGCGCGCGTGGACTCTGGGTCAATATTAGCGCTCTTCTTTTGGTGGTCCCCACCACGGGACATGCTTGTCAAATAAATGGTATCCCACTCGCGATGATCATTGTAGCCAGCAACAACTCTTCATCATTGAAGTCACATAACTGGAAATTTCGCAGTGCTCTGTGCTCAGTTTTCCTGATAAGTACGCTAAGGGGATTCATCCTCTAATTTTGTTAAATTCTCTGTCCATCTCAAAGCCATCTGATGTGAACAGGAAGCTAAGGAGACTACTCTTTTGTGGAAGGCATCATCAAGCAATTTGTAATCTGCAAAAGCAGGTAAATTCATTAATTGCTTTCCCTTTTGATCTCTTATTTACTTTTCTCTCTTCTGCTTCACTACTCAGAAACATTTATTCTCCTTCCTCAGATGATTCTGAGTGTTTTCAACTAGCTAGATAATAATAATGCTCTACTAAACAACAATCTCTCATAACTCGCTAAATAATTTCGAGTTGATATTTAAAGCTCTCATGAATATCTTCCTATGAAATTTGTTCTTGACAAATTCTGTAATCCGAGTGATTCAGAGAAATCATTAATTTTTCTTTTCAGATTTCTGGATCAACTTAGAAAATTCATTTTTCTCCGGTGTTCCCATCCCAAAATTGTGTTCTGCGATTTTTTATCCAAGCAAATACACATGGCCATTGGCCATCACGCAAACTCAAACAAGAATATTATATGCTCAAATGCATGGTGACGACATACATGACAAATAAATATGCAATCAACTAAATACAAACTAGGTAATTAAGAGTTGATAAATTTTCAATTCTCAAAACTTAGATTTAAAGCTTTAAAGAAAATATTTCTATTGAGCCAACACATATAATTGAAGATTGAGAAATAAAGAAGCATATTCGATCAAAAAAGAATTAAAGAAGCTTAAAGACTGAGACGGATAGAAAAGCGAAGAAGGCAATATTTTAGGAAACTAGTTTCCGTGCTCATGGTTTTGATGAGTGTCATAAGTTTATTAAATCTGGGCTGTCTATGTCTGAACAGTTTAGATTTGAAATCTTTAATTAATTATTTTAAATAAAAAAATTATTTTTTAAAAAAATGATAATTAAGAGATTATCTTTATTTTAAATTTCATTCGTATTAAAATAATTATTTTAAATAAATAAACATAAAAAATAAATCAAATTTTAATAATCTAAATAAAATATAAACAATTCAGATTTAATGAGTTTAGGGTACTTATCAAAGTGATGAGCATTGAAACCTGTAATGATTATCATTAACGATACTCATGAATAATGAATGTACATAACATACATCACAGGCAATATTTTATTTAATGTTTAAAAAAAGTACTATTCATGATAGTTTAAAACTATATTTTTCATTTATTCGGATGTATCAAAAAATAACTATATTTTTCATCATTTAAATTTAATTTCGTTCAAATTTGGTTATATTTGTTTTCTTTTATAACACGTTTTTTCATAATCTTATTTATGATAATTCACTATATTTACTATGTATCAAAATCTGTTTATAAATTTCAATAATTTACCATTCATTATATTTATATCTTGTATATATGAGGGCCTTGATTCCGGAAGGATAGGTAGAATATGTTCTTCTGTGTAAAGTTAGTTGGGAAAAAAAGAATTATCATAATCAATCATATTGACTGAGATAGCAAAGATGTTGTTGGATGATGAATGGAGAATATTGCCTTTTGACAATTTGGGTGGGAAAGAAGATACTTTAATACTAAAATGTTTAGAAGGCATAAAGAAATTTCAATAACGTTTCCATCATTGAAGCCTCATAAGTTAAAATTTCTCAGTGCTCTATTGTCCTGATAAGTACGTTACTTTATTGATTCATCCTTTTAAAGTTTTATCTCATTTTGTTAAAATTTTTTTAATGATCTCCAATAATTTTTCTTCTCAAAGCAATCTCATCTGAACAGAAAGCTAAGGAGTCTACTCTTGTCAAGCAATTTGCAATCTGCGAAAACAGGTAAGTTCGTTGCTTTCCCTTTTTTTTCTCTTATTTATTTTTGGTTTATCGCTGTACATGGGTTTAATTATACTATAACTAACTGTATGTCTCTCCTCTGCTTCATAAGTTCTGTCTTCTGTTTCAGTATGTAATGCCATTTTTTGGATGATTGTGAGCGTTTTAATTAGATAATACTCCACTAGATGAACAATCTCTTCATAAATAATGTTTTATATTATAAGGAAAGCTAATAATTTGTTATATATCTCGCTTTGATGTTAACAATGATATTCCTTTTGATTAAGCTTGAAAGTTAGATCCGGCCACAAAACAAACTTGATAGCCAGATGCAAACTGTCCTCAGATTTGACAGTGAATATAAGACGCGGTAGTGACTGAAATTATCCTAATTAATATGTTAATTTATTAAACGATATAGTTTTTCAAAAAAATTAGATCCGGCAAGTTATATTAAACAAAGGACAATAACTATATTAAGTTCTTTATACTTATTATGTTAAGTTCTCTAAGTAAACATGACAATGTATTCTATTTTTGAAATATTAGTATTTAATAGCTTTCAACTACAAATCTACGTAAAATAAAAAAAGGCATATGGACATATATGATTGGAGGACTAGACATAACATATATAAATAAGTTGACATAAGTGTTTTCCTTAAACAAATACTACTCCAAATCTTAATATAAGAACTAGTTGAAAATTTTATCTCGTCCTAAATACAAGACTCTAACTCATTTTGCCTCAAATATTTATCTATTTTGTCCTTGAATAATCTCTATAGTGATTCTACATATTAAGAGGTTACTATCAAGGGTTAATTCAAATATACATAATTAATAAGAGTATTTTATAGAAGAGAACATTGATTTATTACAAATAGCTAACTTAATTAATTTTTTTAATATTCACAAATAATTTATCTAATTTTTATACTAAGAATTAGAGTTGGTATAATTTTTAGAATCAAATATTTTTCGCGATCATCTTAGAAGATGGAGAGATAACTGGTTATACTTATAACAAGGAAATTTCACAAAACCGAAGGTCAAAGAATAAAAAGACAAACACCATTAAAAATTGCCGTTAACTTCTTCCCAATTTTGAATGAGGCCCTCAAGAGTTTTTTTTTCCCTTTTTATTTGATCCTTTAATTTTATGTTGTTAAATTTGGAAGTGTTTTTTTTTTTTTTTGTGGAAAATGTCCATCAAAGAAGGGGTACGCATTCTTCTTGTTTTTTTTTTTTGGCCAAAGGGGTACGCATTCTTGAAATCGACTTTTCTTTTCTTCATTGTATGTGTACTTTGTTATTTGCCATCTATTTTATGTTTAGGGGTCATTTTTTTGGCCTGAATTTGGGAGTTATTTAAGATAAAGAAAGGGGGAAGCACCCCCTTCTAAAAAATTATACAAACACCCATATCTTATAAAGTCATTTATATTATGAGACACTTAAACCCAGACACTTATATTTTGACCAAATCGATTAATTATGAGACCCTCAACCAAACAATCATTTATTGTGACTCTGGTTTGCCCTATTTTATTGATAAGTTTATCCTTTTATTTTGCAGTTTGTTCGCACTTGGATTCTTCTGCTCATTTGATAGCATTGTGCTTCTAATTTTTTTTCCTACAAAAAAACAAAAGACAAAAAAAGACACTTCTCTGTTCAAGGCACGACTTTGAATTCTCCAGAGAGGGAAAGAGTAAGTATAGTTAAGTTTGGATATAACTGGATTGACATATTGCTCTGTGTGTCAGCTCGCAAATCGCAATGGATTCGACCGCAGTAAAGTTATAATTTTCCATCACCAAAAAAAAAAAAAGTTATAATTTTCCAACAACTTAATATTAAGAAGCAAAATTCCATTTCGTGAAAGTTTTATAGCTTTGCATCATTATTTTATGGATTGATATAATTTTTTGTTTTTTATGTTTGCTCTCATTTCAGTTTTGGTCTGTTAAGTTTCAAGTTATAAGTTATGGTTTCTCAGAAAACAAAATAGTCTTGATTTTTATTAAATTATATAGACAATATTTTAAATGAAAAAAAAATTTGAAAGACGAAAATCTATAGTTTAAAATTTAAAAAATCAAAAATTATATTAACTGTAATTTTATCTATGGTATCTGAACAAAATAGACTGCATGACGCACATTTTAAATTTAAATATTATAATTATTTAAATATCATACTAATAGTCTTCTTCTTCTTTCTTTTTTCCAGTTCCCTTTTTTATTTGGTTGATCGCTTTTACTGCTCCTGGAAGTCTTTCTGCAGAAGGGATCAGTTAAAGAGGTGGTACGCATGTTTCTTGAAATTCACTTGTCCTTTTCTCATTATATACACTTTATTATTTTCCATCTATTTCATATTTAAGGGTTATTTAAGATATAAATTCAATAATTATATGTTTGGCATTGTTAAACTAATCTTAGTTAATATTACATATAAAAATTATAACAAATAAATTTGTATACATGAGAATGATCAATTTTTATAATATACATTGGCGTTTTCCTCTAAATAATTTAGTTGAAAAAAAATATCATAGGCTAATAATGGTTGTGTGTGTGATAAAGTCTTTTCCAATCAGTTGCTGCGGAAAGCAGTTAGCCAAAAATATAAACATGACATAAGGGAAAAAGAATATTAATTATACACAGCTTACTCAAAATTAGTATCCTAAAATTTTATATTTTTACACACGCATCTCACCACCAAGCTATCACGAAGTATATGAATGGAGCTTGATAGAGAAACTCTTAATCATTTGAATATTTATAGTGATATTTAGGGACTGTTTCATTTCTTGTTTTCAGAACAGTTTTTTTTCCCCCTCTGAAAAGCAATAAAAAATTGTTTGAAAATGTGTGTTTGGTTATGTGCTTTGAAAAAAGAGAGAAATATTAAAAACTGTTCTAAGAAAAAATATATATTTTAGATGTCTTCTTATCTTCTTGTTCTGTAAAATTAGAAAATAAGTGGAGCAACATTATGGGCATGTTTGTTTTATTGTTTTGGAAACAATTTTTTATTTTTATTTTTTAAAAAAAACTTGTTTGTTTGTTAATTTTTAACTAGGTGTCTGTAAAACAAAAAATAAAAATATATTTCAGAAAACAAAAAACTCAACAATTTTTAACTGTTTTTTTTTTAATTTTTTGAATCATGTAGTTTTTTTTTTAAACTAACCTTTTTACTCGCAATGAAACTCTCCCATTCTATCTCTTAGGCTCATCTACATTCTTTCTCAATCATCTATCTTTTTGCCCATTGTCAATGCACTTTCAACTCTGTCTCTCACTTCTCTAGCCGTTCTTCAAGTTGATTTTAAATACAATTATCCTGAAAAAAATTTATTCTCAAATACAATTTTTAGAACAATTACCTGAACATGTTTTTTTTTTAATTTTTATAAAACTTATTTAAAAATTTTATAAAAGTACTCTAAAAACATAAAAATAAAATAGAAACAAAGAAAGTGCATGTTTTTAATTACGGACAATTATGCATGTATGAAAATATTCTTTCATCTTTTTTTCACTGTTTTATATATGTTTTTCAAATTAATTATTCAAACAGATTTTTTTTCCAAAGTTGTTTTGAAAGAGTACAAACTTGGTTTAAATAACATAAAAATAAAACAAATAGAATCAAAAAGCTCTTAAGCACTCAATTAAGCCCCTTCTTAATTTTGCAAATTATGTTCAGCATTATACACTAACCTCCTTCACATTTTGTCTTAATTACACAGATGTCTCCTTTATTTTGAACACATACACTTACATCTAAATTATTAATATACTAGTTTACCCTTCATCATAATACTAAATCTCTACTTTTGCTGAAAATGTTTTGAAGAATTGGTGGGTTTTCTTTTCTTTTCCCTATTTTTTTCTTTTTGAAAATGGTTATTTGTTTGATATCTTTATCATATTAGACATAAACTTAAGTACTCATCTGGTCCTTAATATAGGATTCAATTATTGAGTTGGTTTTAATCCTAACTATAAAACTCATTTTTCATATTTATCAATTTTCTCTAAATTACCCCTATAGATACTCCTTCAACCATAATCAAGTAGAAGAGGAAGAGGGAGTATTAAGAAAGATGATTATGGTATTTTAAAAAAAACCGTGTTACATTTCTTATAATTAACTAACTTAAACTTCCTTAGTCGAATCAAATTAATTAAATGAGTTTATATTAAGGATAGTAGGAGTACTTTAGTTAATGCAAACATATAAAAGACTTGATGGAATATTTGGTTAATTCTTTTGGTAAATATATGCTCGACCAATTATATTTATAAATTTAAATAATTTGTCTAATTTCTCCATCTTATAGCATTTATATTATATAACGGACAAAAACGCGTTTCAATTTTATCCAATTTTTTGAGACATCCTAATATTTTTCATAATTAATTTTAGTAAATTATCCTTTAACTAACCAAAATTTTAGAAATTAAATAAAATTCCTTTTTTGGAAAATTTCCTTTATTTTCACCACAATTGCAACAAATATTGTCCAGGACATTTATTCCACTTGCCAAGAATTTCTAAGAATTTTACGAATTTTTGGGCATATTTTTTAAAATGTCTAACCCCACGCACCTAGAACTTTTTAAAATTATGCTTTTGTCCCAATTAGGGATGAAACTAACATGATATTTTATTTACATTTCTACTACCTCTGACCCAAATAAGAAATCCATAATGTCTAACCACACACCTTCGGCCCAAATAATTTTTAGCATAATTAGACCTCCAGCGTCGCCCATCAGCAGATTTATTGGGCTTGGGAGCTGGGATTGATTTGTTTTAATTTTTGGAATTATGGCAGGAAATTTTGGACAATTTCCTAAAGTGTACGTAATTAAATTTCATCATCAATTCCCAACCAATAAGTAACTCTTCCAAAATCTATTCTCCTCATAAAATAATTTCTGCAGTTTTGTCATCTCAAAATTTAATTTTTGAGAAATTACAATTTTAAAGCTCAAAAATTATTTCAAAATAAAATATTCCATTTCCTTGGGTAAAATTCTCTTAGTAAATTTTATTAATTCTCACAATAATTATTTGGGCCTTTTATGTAATTTTAGTAAATTATATAATTTGCCTAAATATTACGGAATCAGCCAAAAATAGCCCTTTTATTCCTACAAATTGGTATTCTCTTTATTTATGCCTCTCTAAAGCCTCCATTTTTTTTTTGAAAACCTCTTTACTATTTTTCTTAGTTTATGATATTTTGTGAATTTCAGGAAAACTTTTCATGATTACTTTTTTTTTGGCCGAAAACTTTTTAAAACTACACTTTTATCCGAACTTGACATTTCTATATGTTTCTCTATAATGCATTTGAAATAAATTAATTCCCAAAAACAGGTTAAAGATGGTATGCTAAATCTTATGACGTTTGGTAATAATTTTTTTGTAATAATGTTAGAATTTGAATATGTAGGCAAAAGTACGTACGAATCTTAATTTTATGTCATTTTCGGTTAAGTCATGTGAGTCTACTCCCTACAAAATTTCTTATGTGATCAAGATTTTCCTCATTCTTCGTAATCTTAATTTAGAACAGTATATATGTAAATTTTAAAGTCAATTAATTAACCAATTAAAATTTTTTTACCATAAAAAGTTTACTTATATGTAAAACGAATCTTTTTTATACATTGTGATAATTGATTTTAATATTTTGAGAAATATTCCAAAATTAAAATAAAATTAATAAGGGTTAATATAATTTTTGGCTCTTTAAATTTGTTATTATTTTAATTTTAGTCCTTCTAATTTCAACTTTTAGTCCTTTAAATGTGAGTGGCACGGGAATAAATTTACTAAAAGAGATATAATCATAATCTATAGGTTGACATTAAAAATATCTAATCACAATTTGTAGGTTGACATTAAAAATAAAAAACATACATTTTTAAAAATTAGATAGTTAGTCTACTAAGCCATCGGGACAACACTAACCTGCTAGGTTTGACCCGCGGGTCTACTTGTATCCCCAACTCTGTTAATTAGGAGGCATTTATTAAATATTGATATTAGAAATTAAGTTGGTCCAAAAAGATAGTATACAATTTAAATATAATACAATTTTATTTTATGACATTTTTGTGTTTGCAATAATGTAATTCATTTATTACTTATCTGTTTATATAATTAATTATTAATTGAAATTTGGATCCCAGAACACTAACAAAAGAGAATGCAAATGGTTGGGCATTGACGGCACGAGAGATTTCATTACATATTTGTAAAACATTATATATCATCATAGCTTTTCACGTTTTTAATTACTATTTTTGGAACCCTAATTTGATGTCCTGTCCATTTTAGATGGCATGCTCTGGGGAAGGTATTTTAACAGACCTTGCCAAGAGATTGGTAGATAAAACCATAAAGGAAGTTAATTACTTTCGTCATTTCGAGACTCATGATCACGAGTTTGATGGGGACAATCAACTTTTGATTGGAAGATTAGAGAAAGTTCGAAAGGATATTGACGATGCCAAAAGTAATGGGCATCAAGTTGAAGGTGAAGTTCAAGGTTGGGTAACGGAAGCTGATAATCTAATTCAAATGAATGCTGAAATTAGACAGACAATGTTTGATAGCTGGTGTTTTCTTAGGAAATATCAACAAGGCAAGAGATTAGCACAGAGGGCGCAAGTCATTAAAGGTCACATCCAAAAATGTAACTTTGAAAGAGTAGCTCGTCCAGGTAAACTTCCAGGTATGAAGTACCATGCTTCAAAAGACTTCATTGATTTTGAGAGCAGGAAGACAAAATTTAAGGAACTTGTGGATGCTTTAGAAGATGGAAATCATTACATGATTGGATTGCAAGGGATGGGGGGAGCGGGCAAAACCACATTGGCAACACAAGTGGGAAAGCAAGTTGAAGAATCCAAAGCATTTGAGAAAGTCATTTTTGTTGTTGTGTCTAATCCTCCAGATCTCAACAAGATTCGAGGCAACATTGCAAGGGAACTAGGTTTGCATCTAGAGGAAAGAGTTGAAGAAGATCACTCAAAGCATTTGTGGTCTAGAATTTCTGATTATAAAAAAAAATTACTTATAATATTAGATGATGTGTGGGAGAAGCTAGACCTCACCGAAATTGGGATTCCATCTGGACCTGATCACAAGAATTGTTATGTTTTGATAACCACTCGTCATTCAAAAGTTTGTCAACAAATGAGATGCCAACAAGTGGTTCACCTACACACATTGGGTGATGAGGATGCAGTGCGTCTCTTTCTGTATCATGCTAGTGGTTGTGATGATGATGATCCTTCAAGAAATAATTTAGAGGGTCTTGCAGGAGATTTTGTAAAGGAGTGTGGACGATTACCAATTGCAATTGTGGCACTAGCTGGCACATTAAAAAATTGGCCTGTTGCTGAATGGACTGTAGCTTTGATGACCTTGCGAAATTATAAGCCGATTGTCGATGTTGATGAAGATTTGGTGAATGTTTACAAATGCTTGGAATTAAGCTATGATAGATTAAATAATGAGAAGGCCCAAAAGCTCCTTTTACTGTGTTCTATTTTCCCAGAAGATTACGAATTTCCATTAAATCTCATTATTAGACTTGGTATAGGGTCAGGAATTTTCGGGGAAGTTAATGACTATTGTGCAGCAAGAAGCCAACCGCTTGCTATGAAAAATGAACTCGTAGCTTCTTCTTTGCTACTGAAGGTTGAGAATAAAGAATGTGTAAAGATGCATGACTTAGTTCGTGAGGTAGTCCAGTGGAAAGCAAAGGATGATATTCAAGTGATTATAAATTCAAGAACCACTTTTGAAGCAAGCAAGCGATTTGTGTTTTGGAGTACTGATGATTTTCCTGATCATCAGTTTGATGGTACGAAAGTTGAGATTTTACTTCTTTGGATAAGTGGAAATGCTTTGAAGAAAGACCCAAATGTATTCTTCGCAAGGATGTCAAGGCTCAAAATTCTGTTTTTGTTTGCTCAATATGAGAGAAAAGTTCCCACTCCATCAATGTTGCAATCACTTCTTTCATTAAAGAATATTCAAACTCTTATCTTGGACGGTTGGAAAATAGGTGACATCTCAATTTTGAAGAATCTACAAAGTCTTGTGACACTTGAGATGGAAAATTGTCTAATTATTGAATTAGCCAAAGAGATTGTGGAACTAAAGATGTTGAGACTGTTGGGTTTCAAGAAGTGTGAAATTCAAAAGAACAATCCTTTTCAAGTGATTGAAAGATGTTCACAACTGGAAGAATTGCATTTTGTGGGGAATTACAATGTGAAGGATTGGAAGCTAGAGCATAGAACTGCTCCTGAAAGATCTCCTACTGCATTGCAAATGTTTTCTATTGCTTGTGATGGTTTTAACGTTTTGCTGGTAATGATAATGGCCTATTCAAATGCTTCAATCCAGAACACATGAAACATTTAATATCAGAAGCCATGTTTAAGTACCTTGTGGGAAGAGCGGAAGTTCTTGAGTTAGGGAATTTAGGACAAACAAGATGGAAAAGTCTTGTCCCTGACATTATTCCTATGAAAGATGTAGTCAAGGATAATTTAATGAAGCTTTACTTGTATGAATGGGCTGACATTGAGTGCCTTATTAATAGTAATAAGTGTCACTATTCTAATTTGACAGTCTTCTTGAACTTAGTTGAGTTACAGCTGCATAAAGTGGATGTGAAAGAATTATGTCGCGGTGCTATGCCTTCCGGCTTTCTTGAGAAGTTACAGATTTTAAAGTTAGAGGGTTGTAGGGAACTGCAAAATATATTCACAGATGAAAATCTCAAGCTACCTCATCTAAGGGTATTGAAATTGAAAGATTGTCCAATGTTCCAACTATCCATTTTCAAACCCTTTGTTGCTCGAAGTCTTGGGAAATTGGAAGAATTAGAAGTTGAAGGTTTCACAGAGCTAAAAAGTTTAATTGCAGACGAGAGTTTAGAAGAAGAAATGGGATTGTTGATTATCAAAAACGTCATGGCTTATTGTTTCCTGCATTAGAGTCTCTTCAAATCAAAAGATGTGGCAAATTAGAAGTGATATCATCATTTCTTCTAGCTGGAGACCTTCCCAAGTTGAAAGATTTAGACATACGTGATTGTGTGGAGCTAAAATACATATTTGGTGAATATAAACATAATGCGGGCCAAGTTGTGCAACAGGAAATCATGCTCCCTTTACTAACACAAGTGACACTTCGGAGCGTATCAGGTTTCGTTAACATATTTCAAAAATGCACGACATGTGTGCCAAGGCCGCCTCATGCTTCAAAAGAAGATTCGAAAGAGGGACATAAGAACTCTAAGACAAGTGCTTTCTCATGGGCTCATGGGTGTTGCTTTTTGGCCCCAACTAAAGACAGTAATATTGGAGTTTCTAATGCCCCCTGCTGGAAGACTGCACAATCTCACAGGTATGCTACCTTGGGCTTGCTCTTTTTATTCAACATTTATGTTTATGTTTTTTTTTAATGGAAAAAGGTGATATTTGATTTATTAAACTTTCATTTTATTAGCATATGGTCCATGGATGGTTTATAGATATTTTTCTCTTTTTTAAGACATGTAGATCTAATAATGGAGGGGAGGCGCAGTAAGAGAAGCTTTAGAGAAACGGGGAGGGAAAAAAATGATAGGTCGTGTTTGTTTTTATCTGTAGTTTCTTTTCTTTTAATATACTATAGTCATAGTAGGTCATGTTTATAGCCGTTTTTATTTATACATATTTTTATTTTTTTGTGTTGTTATAATTTTATCTATGGGTTCCTTAGTATTAAGTTTTGATAAAGTGTACCTTTACAGTAATTTAATTATTTTTTTCTTTATAAAAAATAAATTAATATTTAACATTAATTTTTGTCAAAAAATTAGTCTATATTTAAGTACTGATTGTAACTCCCTAAATGATTTCCTTGAGGTTTGTCCCTGTGCATGAGATAAAGCTCAAAACCATTAAAAAAAGAATTCTTCTATGCATTAATTGAAAAAGTAATTTTATATTTGTGTAATTACTCAATGTTCCTACAATTTTAATTTTGAAAAATAAAATAAGTCTTTATCAAAATTAATAAAACAGTTATATTATTTTCTTAGGTGCACTAATAAGTTAAGGAATATATATACTATCAGAACACAGACACGTATGGCTTTCGTCTTGGGTTGGAATTACATAGACTTGATCTTTTTATTTCAGTAGAAAAATAAATATTCATCATAACAGGTATATCATTAACACTTGTGCCCCGTTTGGTATGATGGAAGGGTTTTTTTTTTTTTATAGAAGTGGAGATAAAAATAGAAGTGGAATTGAAAGTGGAAGTGGTAGTAAAAGTGAGTCCTAAAACATGTTTGGCAGAATGATGGAATTGGGATATAATTTTTAATTAAAATATATATTTGTAATAAGAAAATACCAAAATACCTTCTGAAAAAATATCTCTTCGCCTCCCCTTCATCCAAGGCCAGTGTCCAGAGAAGGATTATTGGAAAATCTGCTATTTTCGGTAAAATCAAACTCAGGACCAATCAAATTGAAACAAGCTCATTCAAACAGAATCAATCTCAGTTTATCTCAGTCAAACCCAGATTTGTCAAGAACTACAAAAATATAATCCCATCACAGCATCGAAACAACACGGAGGGGGACATGACAGCTGGAAGTGGGTGCCAGAGGAGGACATCGAAGGGGGATTATGATGGGTAAGATTGTCAATTAACAAAATAATTGAGGATAGGATGGTCATAAATTTTCAGTTCCTGATAACTTATCCCGGTGCACCCAAGGAACCTAGTTACATCAAATTTGATGGAACCCACTTCCATCGGGAACCTACTTCACACCCACACACCCTAAACAAGTTAAATTTGGGTTCCACTTTCATTTCCACTTCCAATTTTTTGGGCCCAATTCCAGTGTACCAAACATAGCATTAAGTCCTCGAATGTTGGGGGCTGCCTGCGTACCCCGTCCAATTCAATTTTCTTTTGATATTTAAAATGCTGATAGTTTCAATTTAATATTCATTATTTTGGAATAGTTATGTTTATTTGATGCATATTCATATACCTACATTTGATATTCTCACTTTAAAATTTGACATCTATTTTTGTATATCAGAATTTCGGATAAACTGAAGTAATACGTTAATTACACTAAATTTAATGTCAATTTGTCTAACATTAGTCTTTTTATTGCAGTAAAAATCAAAGACAAAAATAAACATTCACACACGCACGAATACTGATAATAGGTAGTATATCATTGACATGAGCAGGAATTTTGGTTAATTCAATGTTTTGTTATTATTTTTTATTTTTCTATTATTTGACTAGTATCAAGGGCATGGAAGTTATTAGTTGAATAACTTATAAATCACATTTTATTTTTTAAGGCATGCAGATCTAGTAACATAGGGGAGATGTGGTAATATAACTATTGCGGTATTGCCAATTGATTGGTTTTATTGAAAGTGTGACATGGCACTTGTTTCTTTTCTTTTAATTTATGTGAGAGTCATGATAGGTCATATTTATAGTCTTTTTTTATCTATACATATTTTTAACTTTTTATGTTGTTATAATTTTATGCATCGGTTCGTCAGTATTAAGTTCTGATAAAAACAGTCATTTAAATAATATTTTCTTTATAAGAATTTAATTAATATTTAATATGAATTTTTCTCAAAAAATTGTTCTATATTTAAGGACAGATTTTGACCCAATAAATGATTTTTTTGAGGTTTGTGTACATGATAGAAAGCTCTTGGGAAAAAAAATAAAATTATTTCTAGTGACGTAAATTTAAGAATATTGAAAGAATAAAAATCAAATGTAAAATCGGATACCACAGGCGATTAAAAAAAAGAGAGGAATTATTCTATGCATTAAATTGAAAAAAGTAATCTTATCTTGTGTAATTACTCAATTTTTCTACAACTGTAATATTTATCAATAAAATAAGTCTTCATCAGAATTCATAAAGCACTTATATTAATTATTTTATTAAGTGCACTAAATTAAGGAATATATATGCTACCAAAACACAAAAACGTGTGGCTTTCGTCGTGGGTTGGAACTGCACACACTCAATTTTTTCATTTCAGTAAAAATTAAAGAGAAAAATAAAAATTCACACCCACACGTGAATAGTGATAGCAGGCATATCATTAACATGAGTAGGGATTTGATTGGTTAATTGAACGCTTTATCTTTTTTTATTTTTTATTTTCTATTATTTGAGTAGTGTGGGCAAGATGTTACAAGTTGAATGCGTTATAAATCAGAGTCTTATGATACATGATGCTTGACAAACTTCTTTATATTTCATGCATTTTCTGATACATTAATTCTTTTTCGGTTCATCTATTGTTATAATGCGATTATTATTGAGATATATGATCATATGATAGAAAGTAATTAGTTATATAACTAGGTTGGTTGTAGGAATCACATGTATTGAGTGAAAGGATTGAAACATTTCATTCAGCTGAGTGTCTTATGAGACAACCATTCAGCCTACAAAATATAAGACAGATGACGCTTGATGGATGTTCAAAATTAAAGTCACTATTCAGTGTATCCATTGCCACAACCATCATGTTGGAGAAGCTGTCTGTTTATGACTGTGAAGAATTGAGGCACATTATAACAAATGAGGCAGAGGATGATGATGTCCATCTCAACTGCACCTCCATCTTCCCAAAACTAGAGAGCCTCTATGTTGAGGGTTGCAATAAATTGGAATTTATATTTCCATCCACTCTTTCCGGAGGTCTTCAAAAATTAAAATCTATATTTATTTCTGAAGCTCATGGGCTGAAATATCTTTTTGGAAAGTACGGTGATGAAGAGTGTCTATCAAATGAGCATGAAAATAATGAGCCTCACATTCATCTTCCGGCATTGGAATCACTAGTCCTCTCAAGAGTACCAAACATGATGAGCATTAGTATCAAGAAACATCAACCGGAATGCCCATCTCTACAGATTATGGAAGCACCAAAGGTACTTACCTATTTTTAATTTATTATTTAATCAGGTCTCAATCTTGCTCTGTTTTTTTTTTTATGAAAATATATTTTATCTATTTATTCTCTTTTAAAAGTTTGACTCTAAACTTTTATATATAACTATTATGGGTCATGCCTCTTTCAGTTTATGTCAAAATGCAATTTATCAATATTTTTATGTATCTTGTATAAGGATTATTTTATACTCGTAGAAGACAAACACGTATGACTTCCGTCTTGGTTGTCTATAATAATTCTGTTCATTTTCAATTAGTTTTTTTTTTGAATTATTTTAGCTGGTACCTAACAGGAATCGAACTAAAACAATTTGATCTTTAAAATACTCACACTCCTAATTTAATATTCATTATTTTGGAATAGTTGTATTTGTTTGATGTCTCCTTTTATGTCCCAAAATTACGGATAAACTGAGGCAACAGAACCTCCTCTGCTCTTCTTTCAACTTTATCATCATTATATAAAAACTAACGTCTTCTTAAATATTATTATAATCTTACTTAAAAAATACCTACAGAAATTTGAACTATTAAATTTGATTTGAATAGTTCATAACTGTAGCGAAAAAAGTGAGAAAAATTATGCTTTATAACCATAGTTTACAAATTACAACTGAAAAATGATAAGATTAAATTTTAACCGTTTAAAATTATTTATATATTTTTATATAAAATTGTAATAATATTTTTATAAAATGTTAAATCAATGCCAATTCCTCAATTTTATACTCACGTAATTACTCGATTTTCCTACAGCTCTAATATTAATTAATAATCAGATATTATATATTGGGGGGTTACATGCACACTAACCATTTTTAAATGGCCAAAAAGAAATTCTATTGGTTTAAAATTTGATGTCTATTTTGTACCTCAGAGTTTTAGATAAAGTGAGGTAATATATTAATTATTACACTAAATTTAATGTCAACTTCTCTAACTTTGGTCTTTTTATTTCAGTTTAAATCAAAGTGCAGTTTATCAATATTTTTATTTTGTATAAAGATTATATGTAATAAATTACATATTGCTAACAAAATATTTAAACATTCTCAAAACAATGAAGACTTTCATATAATTTTCCTATGGAGACATGTATAATTAATTATGTCAAAGTGATTCAACTTTACTTCTATAAAGAGTTCAAATTTGAATTTAAAATATTTCCCAAAAATAATATAGTGTGTTTGTGTTTTGTGTGTGAATGTGTATGTATTTCATAAGCAAATGGATCAAAATAGAGAACATTATTTTAAATTTTGAATTGTCATTTTTGTGAAAACGTGTTATAGGAAATTAAGAAGCACATGGAAGATGTGAGAAGTGAGGGAGCAAAGGAATCTGAAATACAAGAGATTGTTAACGTCGAAACACCACTACTCACTCCAAGTGTGGGCTTTCAACATGTTCTCAACTTCCACAATCTAAAAGAAATAGCAATCTTGAGAAGCCAGAAGTTGAAGATTTTGTTCTCTGTCTCTACTTGCAGAAACCTATCACAGTTGTCTCAATTATATGTACAAAATTGTGAGGAATTAGTTAATGTGGTTGGAGATGATTCTAATAATCATCATCATGACATGAACTATAGCTCCATTTTCCCAAAACTGAAGGGTCTAAGTATCGGCCATTGCAACAAGCTAGAGTTTATATTTCCTCTGTCTCTTTTTGGTACTCTTCAAAAATTAAAATCTTTGAGAATCTGGCATGCTGCTGAGTTGAAATACATTTTTGGGAAATATGATGATGGAGATCAGTCATCAATTATAATTCATCTCCCTGCTTTGGAAACACTAGAACTTGTAGATGTACCAAAGTTAATCAACAATATTGGTGCCAAAAAATATCACCTCAGCTTTCCGCCTCTACAAAGCATTGCTTTGGGGGGTCTTCAAGAGTTCAACGGAGGATCTTTTCCAGATTTGGTGGCTTATTTACAAGGAATACAATTGAATGTGAAAGCTCCAAAGGTAACACATTTGACTTCTTTTTCTATGATCTGCATATTGCTCTGTTTATTTGGATTGCTTAGCATTTAAACTTGAACATCAAGAACATATTTTTATGCTTACAAAATTTTCATGTCAAGACATTTCATACATAAAAATTTATAATTTATTTTTCATTTATAAACATTTGCTTTTCATCAACATATATGTGCGCATGTGCGTCTTTAATCAAAATCTTGCAGAAGATGTTAACTGAAAAAAACAATGACCTTAAAAATTTAAATATTTCTGCTAAATAGTTTGAAAGATAACTGCTCCATATATATTACTTTGTTTATTTTGTTCCTCTTTTTGGAAATTTTCTTCTCATAACAATGGGATCGCTTAGCATTTAAACTCGAACATCAAGAACACATTTTTCATGCATAAAAACTTTGCATGTCAAGACATGAAATTACTGAATTTTTTGGCCTAAAAAATTATCGAATTTTCATTCATAGAAATTAACAATTTAGTTTTCATTTATAAAAAAAAACTTGTTTTTTTTTTCATCAGATTCTTACAGAAGATGTTAACTGAAAAAAGCAATGACCTTAAAAATTTAAAAAATTTTGCTAAATAGTTTAAAAGAAACTTGCACCATATATAAGTTTATCTATAGGAGAAATTAACTATGGATTAATTAGCTTCTCAAGCATATATACTTTTTATGATTTCAAGTCGCTATACTTAGGCATAATCGATGTGTATGCGTCTTTAATTTGTAAGCATTCTACGCATCAATAATAAAGTTTCTCTGTTTTCTAACTCAATGCACATTGAGACATCATTAATAATAGTATTGGAATTTTCTACAATTCGTGAATGTGATAATTTGATCTGGTGCTGAAATTTTGAATTGATTTATTTTTATCAGGACCTGATGAAAATTATCAAGGACGTGCAAAAGCTGACAAACCTTTGGGTAGGACACTCCAAAATAGAAGATGTTCTTAATTTGGAGGGAGTGGAAATTGAAGGTGGAGTCATGACATTAAGCTTAGAAAAAATGTGGTTGATTAATCTAAGTGAGTTGAGACATATATGTAAGGGTCCCAAATATATTTTGAGCCTCCCCAATCTCCAAGGACTATACATCATAGCATGTAAAATGCTAAGAGCAATCTTCCGTGGCTCAATAGTGAAAAGCCTTCCGCAATTATCCTATTTAAACATAGAAGATTGTGATGAATTAGTTGACATCATTGAACAAAGTGATGGGGATCATTTGCATCAACTTTGTTTCCCAGAGTTAGAGGAAATTGACATCAAGTGTTGTCATAGCTTAAAATTGCTCTTCTCTATCTCAACATGTGAGATGTTTCCAAAGCTGAAGGTCTTGAAAATAGAAGAAGCTTCTGAGCTTGAGCAAATATTTATATGCAAACAAGATAATATGGAGAAGATGGCAAAAATGGGAGAAGTATTTCCAAAACTGTCAGAGGTAACACTTGGAAAACTCCCAAAGCTTATTTCTATTTGTGAAGGGATTGATTTTAAGGATCTGCAATGTGAAGTGGAAGATTGCCCAAAATATCAAGGTATAAATCCAAGAAAAGTATTTTGATAATTGCTAGATACTTTTATGAATATTAATATGATATTAAAAATTCTATTGCAGAAACTAATCAAATCCAAGAAGAGCCTAAAAATGGGGATTCAGAAAATCAAGCAACAGCAAGTGTTTTGCCAAAACTTGTAGAGGTATATGTATTAGACTAGTCATCAAAATAACAACAAAAATAATTTTCTTTGTATTTTATTTCACAAGTGAGTTTAACTTGTTCATAAATTTGATTACTACAATTGACTAACTTATTAATTATGGTGTTGGTTAGAGCTCGGAGGAAGCAATGAAGACAAGTGTTGAAGAAGTTGCATCATCAATGGTACAAGCCATCTCATTCTACATTCACATAAGCTTAGTTTCTCCACACCAAGTCTAAGTTTTTTTTATAAACAAAATGCATCAAACAGAACATGGGAATATGCTTAGATGACTGCAGCTTTCTGTGTCTTTCCCACCCAAATTATTAGTCATTATTCATCACTAACAATTGATACATCTAATAAAGCTACAAAAGTAACTTCGCCAAATTCTTGAAAAGATCTAAAGTAAGCAAAGATTTTTGGGGAAACAGTAGAAATATCATAGTATTTTTCTTAAAAAAACAGATTCATGTTTGCACATAAAAAAAAAGAGAGAAACTGATGCATAAATAAATTGTATCTTTTGACATGATGTAGAGTAATAAGGAGGAAACAGTCAAGGAAATTGACACCAAGGATCCTACTCCAGCATTAGAGAAACAAGCACTAAAAGATTCAATATCAGAATTGAGAAGGACATCACCACAGGTAAGTTTATTGATTGTTTGACTATTTTCAATAAGACCATAATTTTTTTTTAAACTTATAACATGTTCAATGCGTCTTCTAATGCCAATACCGACACATGTAAACCATGTATATGGTCTCAACTTTAGTTTGATTATTTGTAAATTAACATGTTTCTAGAAAAAGAATTGAATATTGAACATACAAGATATCCACGAACTAATGAAGTTCCCTTAAGTGAAATACTTTGTTCTATCTCTTGCTGGAATTCAGTACTATAAAGAAAGAGAGGAGGAATTTGGTAGAGTAGTTCTTGATCCTAATTCAAAGTTACCAGCAACAACTTCATTTCCTTTTCAGACGAACAAAATTAATGGCCCATACATCTAAATGTGCTTCAAAACAGCAATTTCTTATTGAATGGAGAGATAAGTTCAACCAATTGATGAAGCTGCTTTAGTAAATTAGTGTCTTCATTTTGTTGTTATTCAGTGATTAGAAGCAACGAAAAAAGTCGTAGGGATAGCTTCAAAGTAATTGTGACTACAACTTCAGAGTTATCCTTTGATATTAGGGTAGAAACCACATAATTGAACTCTATATCTATTATTGCCGAGAACTTGGATTCTTGGAGATGTAAGGCAAAAAAAAAAAAAAAAAAAATCCTGAAACAACCATTTCTTTTTTATCTTTCATCATGTGGCTAAAGCAAATAATTATCTGCAGACGGAATAAATGAAACTGAAAATTATTTCTTTTTTTTTTTTTGGCCTTTCTTTTCAGATTACTCATAGTATCAAAGGGATAACAGAATCAAGTCTTCAAGAGAATTATTCAACGGAGGATGCCATGATAGCAATTCTATCAACTAATTCAAATTCAAGGAAGCAATCCACTAGACCATTTGTCAACTCTAGAAATGATTCTGCACAAGTAAGTCCATTGCCCTTTTCTAATGCAGCAACATCTGAACTACAATGGGTTTTTCGCAATTCAATTTCGTCATTAATAATGCCAACAAGTTGCATCTAAAGCTTCAATACTTCAAATAGAAGGTGGAGTATGAACAGTCAACACGTGAAGCAACGTTGCTGGCCCAACAGCAGGATGTTGAAGAAACAAAGAAATCCATGGAAGTTTCTCATAAAACCAAAATACCACTTGATGATGATGTGCGTTATAATTAATGTATCCCAATAGTTATTTTGAAGTTGCCTTATGATTACTAACCACTCTTTTGAACTGCACAGAGTATTAATGTCATAGCAAAGGAAAGAGCTCAGGAAAGGCCTACCTATAAGGATGTTATATTAGAAACTCTGTTTGCTGATTTAGCACCGAGGAATTTATCAGCAGCATCAATCACTACTTCACAAGAGGAGTTTCCATTGGTTATTGATTATTGTGTTATGCGTTTTTTTTTAATTTAGTATTAGGAATATGCTAGATGGCTAAAAGAAAATGTATCACCCCCCCCTCACTGCTTGTTTTAGGATCTGGCAAAGAAAAAGTCAAGTGGAACAATCATGACCAACCAGCAAGGACTCACAGAAAAGACATCTCTTGTATGCTTGAACTCTTCACAAAAGATAGAAACTAGAACCTAATGGTTATAATTAAATGACCTAACACATTTTTTGGTACTTTAGCAGGGCGTTGGAAATATTCAAGAGGACATCGCAAATATGAAAGCTAAAACAGATGCATCTTTCATTTATTCACAAGTAGAGGACTCACAATCTGGTCCATCTACAATGGTATGTCTTATTTCTATAAGTTTAAATGCCAAGTACCACTCATTTACATCTTTGTAAGTCAATATCAACAAGTTTACACCACATATATGGTCTCAACCAAATTTTCATTTTGTAATAAAGATAAAGCCAGATTATAATTAAAGGGCCTAACACTTGTATATCTATTGGTACTTTTGTAGAGCTTTGAAAGCATTCAAGAGAAGACTACAACAATGGAAGCTAAAATAGATACTTCCTCCTTTTATTCACATGGAGAGGCCTCACAATCAGGTCCATCTATGATGGTAAGTTCAATATATGATGATGCAGAACTCTGGAGTTTATATATTCGGAAATGCAAGACGAATGAAAATAACTTTATATTTTCTAGGTTGCTAGTGTGGAAGAATCTGTGAAACCAGACTTTCAAAAGCATGATTCATCAAATGAAGACAAAGTAGCAATTCAATCAACCAATCTAGAGCTAATGAAGCAACCAAGAGGATCATCGGATGTGCCTTTAGGAACAGAATTTACACAGGTAAGGGAATTGAAGTTTGTTAGATTGTTTTGGTTTTTGTCTTCATGACTGTTGGATAGAAGCTAAGGGAAGTAAACAATTATATCATTTATCTTGTCTCAACCTACTTTTTTGAACCAATGTAGATATATTGCTAGGAAAAAATAGTTAGTGAATAAATAGATAAATTAAGTGATATTGATGTCATTTTATAAATCAAATTTTATCTTTTACTTGGTTTTACTGAAAAACAGAGAAGAAAGTTGTTAGACTAATTTTTCCTTTTGTGCTTTGTAGACTACTAAAGAAACAAGATACGCAAATGTTCAAGATGGACCTAAATCAGAGAAGGCTGAAATGGCTAACTTTTTGACATACTCTTGTGATTTTAAACCCAATATTCCCATGGAGGACAACACAAGCTGTCATGATGTTATCACCTCTTCCCATCATCGTAAGTGTCTTTCTTTTTTGATGATTTTAGATTCTCTTCCAGTTTTGTACTAACTTTCTTGGCTATATGTGTGTGTGTGTCAAAATCACAAACTGCTGCTGCTGCTGCTTCTTCTTCTCAAATACTAGAGATTGGTGAGATTTTCCAACTTGTGGAGTTGAAGGGTGGAGAACCAGCCTTACTGGCCAAAGCACTTGAGCTATATCCTCAACTAAGGCTGCCTCGTGGACAACATACTCACCCAATAATCGCTTTTTCCTACAGAGTCCTTGTTGATATTTTAGTCTTGCTGGCTACCAGAACACCTTGGACCATTACAGCATCAGATAGAACTGCCCTAGAGGGGAACTTAGGTGCTGCAACTTTTCTTGGGTTTGACAAGGATTGGATTAAGCTGGTTCAGGCCAAAGTATTTGGCACAGACAAATCTGATGTCTTGGTAGCAGAAGAGAAAATCTCAGTCATGGAGGAAGAACTTGAGAAATGTGACATTGCATTGGAACGTGTGCAAAAGAAGAGGATAGAAGCTAAAGAGAAGTTAGCAACAGCGCAAACTGAGTTTGAAGCAGTTGACACTCAACTGTTTGATCTGTTGGAAGATCGCAGGAACTTAGTTACGAAGATGGCCGAGTTTAGGAAAATAATAAGTGCCAATGATAGGCCCTTTGGTATTTAAGTATACTCACTTTTTGTTTCTGATTGGTTGTGTTATGTTTTTCAAAAGAGTAAAAAATGAGTGAAACATAATGCCTAAGACAAACCAATATCGCCCCTACGTTCCATTAAATAATGCTTGTTCGTACAATTTAATCGCTGTGATCTATTAGCAAACAGCTTGTGCAATGCCTCTTGATGCCAATCTTGTTAGGGTGGTTGCTTAAACTATAATCTTCTTTTTCTTTTTCTTTTTTTGCTGATAAAAAACTATATTCTTCTAAATGATATTGTTTGTGCAAAGTATTCTTCTAATTAGTATTAATGGGTACAATAACTACATTGTAAATAGCAGAACTGAAAAAGTTATACTTCATTCCATAAACATCACAGGCACAGTCTCAAATAGTCCTATAGAGATGAGACGTTTCAATTAGAGAGGATTTTATTTGTCCACTGTCAAATATAAAGAATGAAACTTATGGCTTTGCGTTCAACTCTTGCATATACAGCTTCCATTGAGAATTGGTTTATTTTAAAAAAAAAAAAACCTTTATTGCCCTGATGGTCATATCGGCTCAATGGAAGTAATTAGTCAAAATTCAATATAACTTTCGGATATTAGGTGGTTTGAAGTGAAAAAAAAAAAAAACTAAGGATGTCATTGTGATCAGAGCAAAAATTGACAGATCAACTGACATTGGGAGAACCAAAACGTGAAATTAAAATTTGCAGTACTTTATAGTATAATTGGAAAGGCAAAATCAACAAAGAGCAAGATGGATCAAAAGAAGCCATAATACCAGTTGAGTGCAAAAATTATCAGGCCAAGGAAGCAATAAGGATGACCGCTGGATAATTCCCTATGTATGGAAAGAATTTGCATAATTCGGGGAATGACAGTAAATTATTCTTTTTAACTCATATTTAAATGTTCCTAGGAGTAAAGAATTGATAAAGTTAATTACTTTATAAAACAAACTTTATATGTTGGTTTTATTTA